ATGATCCCAGTGTCCTGGGATCGAGCCCCGCATCGAGCCCCGCATCGAGCCCCGCATCGAGCCCCGCATCGGGCTCCCTTCTCAGCGGGAAGCCTGCTTCTCTCTCTCCCTCTCCCACTCCCCCTGCTTGTGTTCCCTCTCTCGCTGTGTCTCTCTCTGTCAAAAAAATAAATAAAATCTTAAAAAAATAAAAAATAAAATGGCAAAAAAAAAAAGCTACTAGAGGGTTTAGAGCAGGGGAATAAAATTATCTGACTTATGGCTGCTAGGTAGAGAATAGACAATTTGTGGGAACGATGACGGGAGCAAGGGCAGAAATAGGTAGATGAGTTAGGAGGCTATTTCAGTAGTCCAAGGTTTAGGGCCTGAGTAACTCATTTATTGAAATGAGAGAGCCTCTAAGAGGAACAGGTTGGGGCTGGGAGCTTGGGTGTTGGACATGTTACATTGGAGATCCCTATTTAACATCCAGTCAGGCACTTCAAGTAGGCAGTTGGATATGACACTACAGAGGAGGCCCAGGCTGGAGATACAAATTTGGAAATCATGACATCTTCAGCACATAGAGAGTAGTTAAAGCCATGACATTTGATTAAATGACCCAGAGGGAGTGAGTATAAAAAGACTGAGGGGTGGGACACTCCAATGTGTTGGAGACTGGGGAGACAGGGAAGAACCAGCAAAGGAACAACTGTGAGAGAGGAGGAAGAAACCAAAGGAGAGGACCGTCCTGAAAACCAAGTGAAGGACGTGTTTCAAAAAGGAGAGAGTAATCGGCTCTGTCCCACACCGTGGACGTGGATCACAGAAGATGAGGACTGAGAACTGACCTTTGGCTCTGCAGTCAGAGACCATTGGTACCTTTGACAAGCACTTCGGTAGAATGCTCTGAGCCTGCAGCCTTACTGGAGTGAGTCAAAGAGGGTTTGGGAGGAGAAAAATTGGAGACAATATAAACAATTCTTATGAGGAATTTTGCTGCAAAAATAGGAACAGAAAATGGAGTTACAAATAAAAAGAGGATACAGGGTCAAGGCAGGTCTTTGGGATTGTTTTTTTTTTTTTTTTCTTAAAGATTTTATTTATTTGACAGAGAGAGACATACTGAGAGAGGGAACACAAGCAGGGAGAGTGGGAGAGGGAGAAGCAGGCTTCCTGTGGAGCAGGGAGCCCGATGCGGGGCTCGACCCCAGGACCCTGGGACCATGACCTGAGCCAAAGGCAGACACTTAATGACCGAGCCACCCAGGCGCCCCTGGGATTGTTTGAAGATGGGAGATAGTTCAGTATATTTGTGTACTGATATGAATGGTTCAAGAGAGAAGGAGAGATGTGGTACAGAAGAGAAAAAGGACAGTTGCTAGACAGTGTCCTTGGATTGTCAAGAGGAATGAGGCAGAGAATGTGGCTTCAGATTCAGGTATATGAAAAGTGGAAGCAAATAGAAGTTATTTTCAAATTGTTCCTGATTTCTTAGTGAAATAGGAAACAAGATGATCATTGAAGAGTGGGGATGGGAAAGATGGAGGTGGGGGTTTGAGGAAAGATGTGTAAAAGTCCTCTCAGAGCATAGGAGAGTGAATGGAATGGGCAAAGGCAATTCCTGAAGACAATTGAAAAAGAAAGTTAATTATATATTATTTAAAGATCTGAGAAAAAATATATTTAGAAAAGAAAACCTTAATTATTTCCCTGTGCATCAACTTCATGTTTTTTTAAGAGTAATGTCCAGGGGCGCCTGGGTGGCTCAGTTGGTTGAGTGTCCAACTCTTGATTTTGTCTCCGGTCATGATCTCAGGGTGGTGGGATTGAGCCCCATGTCAGGCTCTGCGCTCAGCAGGGAGTCTCCTTAAGATTATCTCTTTCCCTCTCCCTCTGCCCTTCCCACTGCACTCTCTCTCACTCTAAAATAATTTTTTTTTTTAAATTTTAATAGCAGTGTCCATATAGTTCCCTATTTACAGTGTTTTGTAAAGATGAAAATACATATTTTTGTAAAAATGAATTATTGATTAAACTATGCGTTTTACTATAACTTATCCTTCCTGTGCTGTCATCTCTCAAACCATAATTTCCTGGCTTATTTCTTTACATCCTGCTCTCTTAGGACTAAACAATTTTTGCTATACTGTATTTGGCTTCTTAGGTAACAATATTTTTCTAGTGGAATCAGCTTAGGGTGAAATGAGAAAATGAGCAGCAAAACTAAGTAGAAGAAAAGGAACTCATCATTCCTTCTTGTGAACTTATGAATATTCCCTTTCTGGCCCTTTCTCTACCATTTTATCTATTTGTGCAACTCAAATACTAAAGAGCTCAAAAATAGATCATCTTATGTTCTATATTATCTCCAGGAATGTAAATCTGACAGTCTAGAGTTTACACTTATAGAGAAAGATGTTTATAACTCATTAGAGTAAACAGGCCTTACCTAATCCCAAAATACATAAAAGTATTTCTTGGGAAAAACAAACCCCCAATATTTATTTTCTCTTTTCTCTGAATATCTGAAATTGTACACGTATCAGTGGAAAAGGGGCAGCTCTGACACATCCATGCACTTGCACATGCTGAATATAGACTGAATAGGAAAGTGTTTAAATGACTGATGGAAAAAGTAAATTATTTTTATTAGGTTGTATTTCAGTATATATCAGAAATGTAAAATCACAATGCTTTAGAGCTGAAAAGAATGTTGGAGGTTGTCTAGTCCAGTGATTTTTTTTTTTCAGAATATTTAGCCACAAAGTCCTTCTGCTTAAATGTATGATGACTCCCAGTATATCACATTCTTCTATTGAGGGGCAAAAAGGTAGAGTACCTTAGTACCCCTGAAGTCTCTAAGGGAGCTTCACAAAGCCAGTTTTAAAAGTATTATATAGGGCGCCTGGGTGGCTCAGTTGGTTAAGCGACTGCCTTCGGCTCAGGTCATGATCCTGGAGTCCCTGGATCGAGTCCCGCATCGGGCTCCCTGTTCGGCAGGGAGTCTGCTTCTCCCTCTGACCCTCCCCCCTCTCATGTGCTCTCTCTCATTCTCTCTCTCTCAAATAAATAAATAAAATCTTTAAAAAAAAATAAAATAAAAAAGTATTATATAATCCAAGTTCTCATCTTACGGATGAGGAAACTAAGGCACAAAGCAATTGAGTGACATGACTATTTGTAAGACCTAGATGTATGTAACTAACTGCTGGGGAGGTTCATTCTACTATTCTCTCTGCTTTTGTCTATCTTTGAATTTTTCATGATATAAAGTTTTTAAAAACCTACTAGAGAAACTAACAAGAATATAGCAGATCTTTGGCATTCTCGGCTTTAAATTCTAGCTTGGTATTTTATGAGCAGAGGATCTGTAACATGGCTTGTATGATTTTTCTGAAAGACAAAATGTCATACCATAAACCTGTATTTATGCTTAAGACGGCTGGTAAGTCAGGCTCCTAACTACCTGCCCTGAACTCTGTTTTGTAGTTCTCTGCAACTCATCAAATAGCCACCAACTCTTGTAAAAGAATGAAACTGGCTGAATAGAAAGCCAACCACTAGTACTAATACAGGAAAAGAATATTTCAAGAGAAAAATTATATGCTACACTGGCACCTGACAATTTGGTGGTAACGCAGATCTAGGGATGATGTAATCCTCTTGGGTAGCTGGGGCTCTGGAGCATTCACATTCCAGAAGGAAGGAAATTACGATTTGTCAAAATGACTTAGTGACTATTACTGTCTCCCAATTTAATTCTTGAAACAACTCTGTGATGCATTATCCATATTTTTTAAGTGAGGACCTTGAGGCTCAGAGGTTAAGGAACTAATTTGTCCAGGGTCCCAAGATTCAAGATTCACTCATTTATTCAGTACATATGCATTGATCGTCTACCATGTGCTAACATTTACCAAACTAAATTAAGACCAGCCCCTGCTCTGAAGGATTCACTGTTTATTTGGGAGATAGACACAGAACATATGATGCTCTCAAGGCATAGAGGAGAGTCCCTAACTATTTTTTCTTAAAATCCAGGAAAGTCTTCCCTGGGTGGGGGGTGGGGGGTGAGAGGGGGTGACACTGAGCTAATTTTTAGAGGATGAATAGGAAATTACGAAGCAGAGGAGGTAGGTAAAGACACTCTAGGAAAAGAAAATGACTTGCTTGAGTTTATGGCATTATTACAGGGCATGAATACCAAGTAGGTGGTATTGTCATTTTAGGTTATTTTTCACATACTCTAAACATTACTGTGAAATTAAAATTTCATCTCTTTCATTCTGTAATTGAGCTATATTACACAATTTCTGATAAGGGATACAAAAACATTTTCAGAACAAAAAGGGGTAACAGAATAAAAACTGACACTACTAAGCACTCAGTGATTATTTATTCAACATGACTGAGTTGTCTAGGGAGACTTAGGAGAGCTGCCAAGGCCCAGCTAAGATTTTAGATTGTAAATTTGCCTTAATATCATTCATTCCCCATCGTTAATGAATTTTCTCCATAATGCTTAGTTGCCCCAGTGTTTGAGCAGTTCATGAAGAAGGCTAAAATTATCCAGGGTTGGGGCTCTTCAAGGTTTTGGAGACTACAGAACAAGGGGTGCCAAACTGAAGGTATTGCTAAAAGGGTTATGGCCCTGAAGTCAGGCTACGCAGGAAAAGGGTGGAGCCCGAGGGAGACTAGGTGGGGGGAAGGGAAGAGGCCACAGGCCAGGAGCTCTGAAGGCTGGAGAACGGGTCTGAAAGGTGGAAGGATGGAGACACTGTAATCAGGCCACCTGTGAAAGAAGAACAAAGGACCTGGTATGAAAAAGGTAGGACAGGCCGGCATGGGTCATGATGAATGATTAATGACTGTGACTGTAGGCTCCATTCTTTGTAAGTGTATTTGTTTTGCATATTACTTTTTCTTATGGAATATTGAATGCATGGGGGGTTTTTTTTCCACTATTATTTTACATTATTTAAAAATCCAGCCTTTGGTAATTGAAGAGGTAGGTCTAGGACAGACTGCAAAAGGCCTTGTATTACCATTCTAAGGAGTTTGAGCTTTTTCTGGAAGGAGCTGTGGAAGTGTTTTAAATCAAGGAATAACATGTTCACATGCACACTTCAGAAGGACCACAGTGAAAATAGCACGGATAGAGGGAGGCCGACTAGTGAGGAGACTCTTGTGGTCATAAGGTACAAAGAAGACCAAACTGAAGTAATTAGTGGAGGCTGAGAAGAGATGATGAATAGGAAAAATATGAGAGAATCTGTGTGATTTGGAAATTGATTGGATATGGAGAAATGCAAGTAGGGAGGACCCAGAGGCAGCATCTAGGATTCTGGTTTTGGTTACTTTATGGACCATGATGGCATTCAGAGTTGGGGAATACAAGAAGAAAGCAGATTTGGGAAAAAGAAGATGGCTTTGGTTGGGGATATATTGACCTCAGTGTACTTGCAGGACACATACTTGAAAGTATCCCCAATAGGGGGTGCCTGGGTGGCTCAGTCAGTTAAGCATCCAACTCTTGATTTGGGCTCAGGTGATGATCTCAGGGTCCTTGATCTCAGATCAAGCCCCATGTTGGGCTTGCGCTGGGTGTGGAGCCTACGTAAGATTCTCTCTCCCCCTGCCCCTCCCCCACCCCTACCCCTATTCATGTTCTAGATAGATAAGATAGATTGACAGATGATAGATTTTTTAAAAAGAAAATATCCCAATAGGATGTGCAGTTTTGGAATTTAGGAGATCATATGATAGAAATTATCTATAAATTAAATAGGTTTAATGGTAATCTTAAATGTCTGTTCAAGGACCTGAATAGCCTGAGGATTCTATTGAGATAATATAGTAAGAATTTAAGAATTACCACATAGCATATGTACACACACAATATATTCACATTTACACGTGTGTACATACATGTATAGTTTTATATGTACATATATGAACATGCACACACTAATAACCACTACTTTGAAGTGTACAATTTGTTTTATATTGCTTTACATTTTTTTGTTACTGTTGCATCTGGCCAGTTTAATGTTTTATATAGATTAAAAAGATAAATTCTGTAGATTAAGGCAGCTGAATGACAATTATTGAACTGTCACGAAAATATTAAACTGTGGTGTATTTAATGTGTGGCATTAGCCCCCCACCCAAGATGTCTACGTTTTAATCCCCAGAACCTGTGAATATGTTGGGTTAAATGGCAAAGGAGAATAAGGTGGCAGATGGAATTAAGGTACTAATCTGCTGACCTAAAATAAGGAGATTATTCTGGGTTCTCCAGATGGACCCAATATAATCCCAAGGGTCCTTAAAGGGAAGAGGTATAATTCAAGGGAAAAGGTAATTGGAAGAGTATCAGGGTCAGAGGGAAATGTGAACTACAGGACAGTTAGAGAGAGATGGGACCTTTCTGGCTTTGAAGATGGAGGAAGGAGCCATGAGCTAAGGAATGCAGGTGGTCTCTGGAAGCTGGAAAAGACAAGGGAAGAGATTCTCCCCCAAAGCCTCCAGGGAGGAATGTGGTCCTGCCAACACCTTGATTTTAGTCCAGTGGAGCATATGTCAGACCTTTAACCTACAGAAATGTAAGATAATAAATTTGTGTTAAGTCTCTAAGTTTGTGGTAATGTGTTACAGCAACAAGAGGTAACTAATATACTCAGGCTAACTAATTTTTGGTCATCTTTATTTTGGAAATACTTTTCTAGTTTATTTTAGTGATCTTTATTTTGGAGGTACTTTGCTAGTGCGTTTTGAATTTCAATGAATACAAAATAACAAAAAGAGAATTGCCATATAGTGGGTCAGTTTCACTGTCCCTTCAGCCACCTTCCTATTTTACCTCAGGTCACCAAGGGATAGTCTCTAGGAGGATGTGTTTTTGTTTTGTTTTTTTTTTAGACTATCAACCTTAATAGGTTAGGGATGTTTTATTTTAAAAAAGAAAGATTCTTGTTAGAACTCAGACTTGCCCCTCCCTGCTTCACAGCCTCCACATGGAGAGAGGAGCCTTGAATTAGCCAATGAAAATATACCCATCACCTACCCCAGAGAATCCAGCCCAAAAAGCAAATCTAAACAACTGGAGTTCTTTACAGACTCCCCCTGGGGCAGGTGAACTGTTTACAGAGAACCATGGGTACCGTTTATAAGACGTTAGTAGAGCCAACAAGAGAGCTTAGGCACTGGAGCAGGAAGCATGATACAGCCTCACAACCTCGGGCACCAAGGGGCTTAATGCACCCCCTCTGTCTCCCTGCATCGTCTGAGTTGACGGCTGAAAAGCATCCTCCACTGATGGTGCCGGGGACACACGGACAGAGCCTCTCTTTCCCACACTCCATGAAGGCAGTGCCCTTTCTGGTCTCACATTTTCTGTTGAGTAAAAATCCTTTTTCTCCCCCATGAATCCTATTCCAGTTTTGAGGAAGCTCGTACAGTATTTGTTGATTTTTATTACGCTCACCCTCAGAGGTAACATTAAGCACGCACCTTACTAAGGCTGTATACTGACCCCACATCCAGTCTTTAACACTATTTCAAGCTTTCAGATTCACCCATCAATCAAGTTCTGATCCTTAGAAATACTTATTTATAGGCCTCCTTCTACATCGATGTCTATACCAATTGCTGGTGAATCTGAATCTCTGGAAGAAGACAGAAAAGGTGGAGAGACTCTCAAAATCCATCTTGGAATAGCAGGTACGGGTGTGTGTGGCATACTGGTTTTTTCGTTTGTACTACTTGACATCCTAAAAGATTCCCAAAGTCCCACCCAGATTTAAAATTCTTTGGGTAGATGGCTTGATGAAATGGGCCAATAATTATCAGCGGAGTTTTAATTACACAGTTTTTGGTTAAGCCAATGCTTCATTTGTCTGAAACAGATTGCCCTGACAGATTAAGAGCTAAACGTTGCAGTGACACACCGCCCCCCCCCCAATTGTGTACTTTGGCAGGAGTTTGCCTATTCCACATGCCCAGCAACCTGTCAGGTGTTGCTTCTCCTCCCTGGATCACTTTCCTCTGTCAGTGGTGCCCAAACATGAGTGTACATCAGAGTCACCTGGTGGGCTTGTTAAACCTGCAGCCGGAGGTTCTGATTGGGTGGATCGGGGTTGGGGCCTAAAAATTGCATTATTGAGTTCCCAGGTGACACGGATGCTGCTTCTCTGGACAGACTCCCAGCCACAGTCAGAATCTGCTCCAGGAGTTAAAAGCAGGGTGGGGAAAATGTTAAACTGGCTGAAGAAAAAAGACTTCCGGAGCTTCCTTTCTTCTCTTCTTTTCTTTCTTGTGAGGGAGGTTATTATTTGAAAGAATGAAAAGAAAGGTGTAGTGATGGGATTAACATTTTCATCACCTTTCTAGATATGCAAAGATAAGGTTTCTTGTTGATAATAAGGACTACAGTTCTCATGATTTAGGATCAATCCTTTGCATACTTTTAAACTTTCCGTTAGCTCCTTCTCTTTGGTATTTAAATATTCTGAATTCTTTATTTTTAAAAAAACTCACTGGCCCTACATCCTCCGTCTACTGCTCTTCTGTGGGTTCATGCTCTTCTTCCTGCAGCCTCCCCTCCCCTGCTTCTCCCCCCTTCCCCTTCCCTCTTTCACGCCTTTTAGAGCCAAACTTCTAGGAAGAATACTGTGCATTTATTCCTAAACACATGTGACACCTGGCTTCTGGCTTCTGCCCTGTCTTGATTATGTCTCCAGTAACATGACTGTCAAATCCTGTGGGCGTTTTTTCTGCTCTCACCTGACTTGGCCATTTACTCTTTCTTGAAGCCTTCTTTTCCCTTGGCTCCCACCTCTCTGACCTTTCCTTCTCTAGCATCTTGGAGGCTCTTCGTCTTCTCCCACCTTCCTCTTAAATACTGATGTTCCAGAGTTCAGTTCCCTCTACTCACCGTCCCTGGGCAATATACTCTATACCCTTGGATTTAACTGTCACATTCATGTAAATGTGATCATGTAAATATGAATCGAACACTTCGGTTTACAAATCTGTGTTGCCTCCAGACCTCCCTCCTAAACTCCAGGTGCACATTTCCAAATGCTTTCTGGGAAGGTCCACTTCATGTTCCCTGTTCTACTGAAATGCTTCTGTTTCTCCTCAGCCATACTCCAAGTTCTTCCAGATCAGGTCTTACTTGTCTTTGTACCTCCAGCGTAAGGCCAGGGGCACAGGAGCAATCCACTGCATGGTGACCTGGCGTCCTCAGGGTCCCCACACCTGGCACAAGTCTTCCCAGCCCTTCCTCCTGCATCTTCTGTCTCACTTATCCTTGCGCACTCGAGTACTCGCCAGTCAAGCCCTGCCACTCGTGCCCGCGAACCACCTCTCTCTCTCAGCTGGGTTCTTGTGAAAACCTTCACTCCTCCACGCCCTGTCCATCCTGGGGCCTGGATGTAGATTAGTCACATCACACCTTTGCTTAAAGCCAGTGAATTATTTCCTTCTTTAAACCCATAGAAAGTCCCTCACGACCAGGCATCTGTTCATCTCTCTTTTCCCTTCAGTCATATCTGCCCAACTACCCAGTGTTCTGACTGTACCAAGCTGTCTGCTCTCTGCAAATGAGGCATGCTTTTCCCCACCAAGTCTCGCCAAGGAGTTGCTATACGTGCTTAAAGACCTCGAGGTAGGGGCACCTGGGTGGC